AGTTTCCTTTGATCTTATGACGAACCCGCATGAGAGATTCTACTTCCACTTTCAGCTCCAGTTCAGCTGGAATCTGTGGAGACAATTTCTGAGAGAAAAAAACATGCTCCTTTATCATGAAGTTGAGACATGTGGAAAATTGAATGCCTAGACTGGATCTCCAGGGCTCCCCTAATAATATCCATAAATGACTTGTTTTTGGATAGCCTATGTAGAAGGAGGATCCGACTATAATCCACTGTTCCGACTTTTCAGAATTTGATATGGTCCATAGAAGCAGGCAACAAGCTTTTGATTTTGTCTTGATACCAAAGTTTGCTGCCGGTATGGCCCGAGCTTCAAATATATATTGTCCCCAATCTCGAAAGCCTCATTTTCTGTTATGCACACAATAGATGCACTTTCAAATCCTTTAGACGGCATCACGTTCACATAGAAGTTGCTCCACTGATGAGGCTGCAGTGACATGTTTCTCTAGCAGGTGGAGGGGGCTCACGACCAGATAATGCATGAAATGGTGAACATATAAGAGCTGGTGGTGTTGTACCAGAATTTTGCCCTGTTCAACCATTTACGCCTCTGACTTGGTTTTTCTAAAAGTAAAAAACGATGTCTTCAAGCCACAATTCACCACTTCTGACTAACCATCTGTTCGAGAGTGGTATGAAGTACTCTGCTAAAACATGTCCCCTGCAACCTAAATAATCTCCTTCCAAGAATTATTCAAAAATTGATTTGTATTGGTAATGATCAACGTGGAGTCCCATGTAATTTCACAACCCCACGAACGTAGATCTCAGCGACTGTTTTGGCAAGTAAAAGGCAGTTTTAAACTTTAAAAATATGCATACCTGCTCAGTCTGTCAACCACCACCAAAAATTGTGTCATGTCTTTCCGACTTGGGCAACCCCTCATTGTGTCTTTCCGACTTGGGCAACCCCTCATTGAAGTCCATGGACCTTATCCCAAACATGCATCAGTAAAGGAATTGGCTGTAATATTCCAACAGGCAAGACTGCCAATGCGTTTATTTCATAGACAAACTTCACCCTCACCATTCTCACCACATATGCCTGCATACCGACCCAATAGAGCTCTTTGCAATCCATTGAAAAGTTCTCAGCTCTCCTGATGGTCTCCCATTGGAGTATCATGAAACTCCCAAAATATCAAGGGATTCGGTGGAGTTTTTAGGAATTTCGAGATGGATTTTGTATAACAATAAGCCATGATGCATCGAGAATTCTGTCCAACTTGTATCTGAGTTCGAAGTTTGTTTATATTTCATCAACTTCTATCTCAAAATGCCGCTGATCACATTGCCTTTACTATGATACCACCAATTACCCCACATTCCATTGGCTTAGAAACCTTAGAAAAGGCATCTGCAGTCTTATTCTCTTTCCTGCCTTGCAATGAATTTCAAATCAGAACTTAACAACTTGCTACCCACTTTTGGTATTATGCTATTAGTAGAAAATTGAGACTGTTCTAGTCTGTGTGGACTATAAACTTACGTCCAAGAAGGTATGGCCACCACTTCCCAAAATAAATACAATGGCCATTAAAATTTTCTCATAGATATGGTTTCGTGCATGCACTTTGCCCCATGACTTGGCCAAAGTAAGCCATTTGTTGTTGGCCTTGCATGAGGACTACCCCAAGGAAGCCACTGGTTGCCGTGTTCTTTTCCTTGTTAACATCTATGTAATACACAATATTCAGTATAGAGTTTCCTACCCTTATCCCACCTTGTGATTCATGTCCCATCACGATATTCGTTGTTCTAAAATGCGATGGGAAAAGCTAGCTTCATCGGTTAAGAAATCAAGTTTTGACATATGGAAAATTGTTGGTATTAAATAGTCTTTATCATTAGAATTACTTATTTCTTTATTCTTATCAAATTTATAGATAAGTTAACAACACTAGTTTTAGTGCTTCGTATTTTTCTATATTAAAAGGATACTATGAATATTCTATAATTGGTTAAATAATTGTTTCAAACAAATTAATGTTGAATATAAAGTGAATACGACAGTTTGTATGTGATAAAGGAAAAAGTAGAAGGGGTTATTTTAAAAATAGATGTTTTTCTTATATGTGCTTGGCTTTCTAGTTGGAATCTTGGTTAACTGTCAAAGAAGCCTGCCAATATTCTCTCTGTCTCTCCTGCCCTCGTCCATTAGGAGTTCATTGACTACATTCCACACCACACTTTCTCCATTTTCCAACACTGATTTGACCTAGCAAACGAGATCAATATTCGCAAGACAAAATTGGTAATTGGAACTTGGCACACACACAATTGAAAAATGAAACTCAGTGCCTACAAGACGACATTGGAACTTGAATCTTACAAGATGGAATAGTTCAAATAAGACCACATAGTTTCTGATTGGACCATAATCGGGTTGCTAGATGTGTCCGTCTCTAGTTAGGTGGCCGGTTAATCAATCTTTTAGGACCATATCCATAGACCACCAATCTATTCCTTGGAGCGCTAAATGAACAACACCTTATGAAGAAAGTGGCACTTTGGTTTTGGAACCTCTTTTTGTTGTGAAAAATGCTCGGTGGATGCAAATAAGTCTTTTACAAATGGCATCGGGATGTATCTCCACCTTGTTTGAAAGTCCATTACCTGGGTAAGAGCTATTCTTAGGTCTATGATATTGTTTATGAGGACCTTTTTCCCTCTTGCTTTAATGTGTTTAGTTCCTATTGCTCGCATGGGTATTGAGCACCGATTCCGTTATTAGTTATATTTAGAGAATGCATTTACTAGTAATTTTCTTGAAGAGGAGATATTTTGGGTAGTTTCCATCTTTGTTTTTCTTCATACAACTCAAATGCCCAACAATCTATTTATGCTTTCTCAAATTTTAAAATATTTTGCCTCATTCATGAGTCACAACAAAAACATTTTTCTCCAGCCAGCTACTAGCCAAGCGAATCTTCTTGGTCATATGCATCAGCAACTTTGTTCTCACTGGTTACGACTCTTCGGGCATTTATGACCAAAAGATTTATGTTGGAAAATAATCCAAGTTACTCATGTCAGACAACTCCAATGCTTTACATGGATAAATTACAATCACATTAGGGGATCTTCTATATTCAAGTGTGGTCTATGTGGTGCAAACTAACAAACTCATCCATGACTCGGCTATGAAAACTGCCGCCCAATGATAGAAAACCTCTGCATGATCTGGAAATATATAGGAGACTAGTGGGGAACTTAACTATTTGGTTGGTATATCACCCACTTAATGAATGTAGTCAGCCTGCTCCCCATGTTGGTCTGTGAGGTGGTGTTCTACGTGTCTTCTCAGAGGCGCCCTGGGAAGAGGTAACTTACACATATTCAGGGATACTGCTCGGTAGAAGCGCTTACATAGGAGGCATGATTGCATGTTTCTCATATGTAGATTGAGAAACTGTCCTATCATGCAGAGATTAATCACCCATTTCGTTGTTTCTGTAGGCAGCAACCTAGGTTAACAGAAGAGCAAGAAAGATCATCTCTTGTTGCATCTGAAAATCTGAAAGCTGATTCATGGTTGGTGTCCATGTGAAATGACATGGAGCAAGCGAATTTAGACACTTCGATGGATAAGGTAATTGGCATGGTTATATTGTGATAATCGATCTGCGATCCATATTGCCAAGAACCAAAGTTTTTGACTAAAGGAACAAGTACATTGGAGTCAATCATCAACTTGTTCAATCATGTTTTGGGTCCAACGATAGATGCTCTGATCCCCCAACCCATTCACATTCAGACGGTGTATCGACCGGCATAGATACCGAAGTAGCCATTAAGGAACAATCATATCAACTTTACCTTGGACAAGTTTGCCATGTAGATGTCTATGTGCAGACTTGAGGTGTGTTAGATGTACACTATGCTACTTGAGTTGTATGTCCTGTATAAAGACATGTGTACTACTTAAGCCATGTTAGAGCTTCGTTGCTGTTTTTTGTGTGTTGTTCTCAGCAATGAGTCCTCTATGTACACATTATATATACAACGTTTCTTCCCAATGATAAATATCAAGTTTGCCCAAATAATTTCACATATTGTAAACACCATGGAGTAGAAATCTTCATAGAGAAAGGGCTCAACAAGGTAGGAGACATTCTCGATGCTGAATCCGAGGTGCTTGATTAATTGAATGTCAATCACATGTGTCTTTGTTGTTAAAATTTTCAATGGATGTGCAAGAAATAGACAGTAGTTACTCACTGCAGTGCAGTCAGAGTATTCGGCCATGGCAACGTCTCATGTGAGGTGGCATGGAGCATTAACCACCACCATGAGTTGGGAGGTTCCCTAGACAGATTTTCCATTTGTGCTGCCATGATGAGGAAGCTATTCATTGTGAAGAACCACTTCTGCCATGAGTATTTCAGATCAAAAATTAGCTTGCTGATATGATTAAAAATCATCTTTAGAATATTGTGCATGTTTAACATCTATGCTTCAATTTTAGGTATATTTCCTTAGGGTCTTACCACCTTATATGTTCATATATCCAGGTCAAAGGGCAAGGTGCTTATATATTAAGAATTTTCTTAGTAATAATATATTCTTTTGAACCTAAACTTTGATGGGGGTTGTTAATTTCAGAAGATTACAGATCATATCATTTATACATTTCATGTTTATAGTTGTTGCTTCATTTTGCTAAAGCTTTGGCTTCTGCTTCTGAAGTGTTATTCCAGTCATTCTATATGCATAAATTTACTGGAAGCTGCATCGTTTAAACCGTTGATTTCTGTCAGTTTCTGCAGTTTCCATAATATTGATCTTTAGTTTAGATTACCTTGGGTTGTACATTAGTCAAAATTTCATTTATCTTATTCATAATAATTTTTTTTTCCCAACATATTGCATTTGAGATGATGTTCCTTCATGACAGCTGTTACCTTTTCAGATTAACAATTAGCAAAGCTTGATATGGTAGTTTGTTACTTGTATGCCTTTTCTGTTCAGGAGGGGAACTTAAAGCCATCGAAAAGCAAGCTTGATCATGCGTTCCTGCTGCAACTTCTTTTCTGGTTCAAACAGACATTCAAGTATGTTTGTACTTTCTGACCTCTAGTTTTGAATTCTGTGTAGTGGGGGACAAGTGGATAGTAGGATTCGTTGATTCTAAAAGATTGAGGATATGGGATGCATTCATACAGCCAAATCAATTGCAGAAAGAATTTTCACATAGTTCATGCAATAAATACATAATCTAAAGACATGTTTAAGCTGAAGTGTTATCATGCTTTTACTTATACTTGTCATGTTGATATTAGTCAAATTATTAAGTGCAAATAGTTTGCCATTCCTATGCCTCCTTTTTCTCCATAGGCATAAGATGCAAGTTTTACTTTTAATTTCTAGCCTTAATTTTTACTTCATAACTTGTGAATTCATCTCTCGATTTTTCGAGAAAGACCAAAGTTGCTCCTTCTAAATCCCAATCCGTTATTCCCTTGCATAGTCAACAATTTGCGGATAGTCAATGTGACATCCCATGCCCACCCCATTACACCTCGGAAGAGTTGAACATGTGAAGCACCCAATATGGGACTTGGCAAGGGGCAGTAACAGCCCTGCCAGAAACTTACTCACTTATGACTTTGCCTCTTTGGCGGGTTTAAGTGGTGAAAGGATTGATTTAACCAAATGGACAAGCTGGATATGCTTAATCTTTATATCTTGGCTTTAGATGAAGCAAATTAGTATATTAATATCAGCTATGGAGTATGCTACTTAATTTATTTTTTCCATAAGCTCACACACACATATCATATTTAGAATGAGATTGAGGTTGAGGTAGCCTCCTTTGTTTTCTCTATCCTTCCACTTCTACACTCTCTTGTTCTTTATGATAACATTTCACATGCCTTTCCTTCTATATACTACTGCTGTCACTTCAACCAGATCTGTAACTCTTCTAAAACAACCGAATCATCATCTACTACACCTATCTGACATAAACTTAAACCAATTCATCTTCAATACCTAGATCTTTCAACTGATTATGAGATGCTCAATTTTATACCTGGTTTGAGGCATAGATGTTATCTTACCATCCTCTCCCTTGTACAAAAGTTTGAAATAATCTAGAGCTTGTTGATAATATCATGAAGGGAAGGTAACTGAAGGTTTGATATTATTTTCAATAGTACTTTGCTTCTAGAGCTGGTGAAGTATTTCTTGTTCAAGGAGATAGCATGCTCTTCAGTCGCCACGACTGATGATAAACATTATCCTTACACTGTGAAGTTATGTTACTTGTTTGTAATTTCGTGATGTAACAATTTTAGGTGGGTGAATTCACCTCCTTGTGAAGCTTGTGGCAGTGAAACTGCCAATCAAGGAATGGGTGTAGCAAGTTCGTCAGAGACTGCTTATGGAGCCTCTCGAGTTGAACTTTATCGGTATGGATAGATGATAAATGATCTGTTCTCTGTAATCTTTTACTACTAGAATAGCTTGTTCTAAGTTTTTTTTAATTGATTACTTTATTTTCTTTTTATGAGTTTCTGTTTGTATTTATACTCTGAATTTCTAGGTTTTATGCTTCTTGTACCAGCCATAGAAAACACTCCCTTGTTACCTTCAACTTTGTAAGTAACTTGGTGGTCTTTATCTTTCTGCAATACTGGATCACAACTATCAGGAGCGGATTGAACAAAATGGTTAAAAGGAACAAAAAGAAGATAGTACAATATAAGTAGGGGATTGAACCTGCTTGGATCCTTTGACCTTGTCAAGGTTTCAAGTGACAACAATAAGACTTCAGATGGTGGGAGCACAGCCATTGGAGGCTGCAGGAAGCTACAGAATGCTTCTGATGAATACTCATATGTTTACAATGGGTGCAGGTGGTGGAGGCTGTCCCAAGTGGTAACCTAGAACTTTCATATGTGATTATATAGGATCGCATTCAGAGTGTTTTTATATGGTGTGTAGTACTGAGCCTAAACTGAACTACAATAATGAACTAATAGGCTGGCTAATGGGACGAGGCTTATAAGCCCAAGTTTAACCTAATTAACCTACTTATATCTTTTCATAGTACTCGTCCTGTATAAGGCAGTGGTGCCATCCAAAGTAATTGGGCAATGTTGTTATATAAGTAGATGATGTTGTTGATTTAGAGTCTTGGACACTTGGGTTGTGTTGCTAACATCCAAGAGAATAAGCTGTGTGGTTTCGTACATGCCTTGCTGCTTTTACTCGTACCATGTCGTATGTTGTCGCCAAAAGGAGGAAAGCATTCTTATTTAGATTGGGTATCAATTCCAACATCAGCCTTGTGATTAATTTACCAAAAGCCAATATCAATAATTCTTCTAATTATCATGTGGTATTAGAATATGAGTTAACTTTCTTCGTTGCAATGTTTTATCCCTTTGTTTCATTTTCTTATATATTTTTCTTAATTGGACCAGTTGCAATATATGTCCAAGAATCACTCGTTTCCCGCGATATAATGATCCTATAAAGGTTTGCAAATCTTGTTTGTGCTTTCAAGAACTTTCTGATTCTTTAAACTCATAGTATCTTTTCATGGTGTAGCTTCTTGAAACAAAGAAGGGGCGATGTGGGGAGTGGGCCAATTGCTTTTCACTTTATTGTCGCTCTTTCGGCTATGAAACTCGTTTGGTAAGATGCTTATCTGCGTTGCTCTTTTGCTAGCACTTTAAGCTTTATTGCTGGAAAGTTGATAAACTTATGAATTCTTGTCACACTAGAAGTTTAGGGGTTCATTGGTAATTGTCAAAAGATTTGAAGGCTGTTTGTTCTTAGTAAAGAATTTGAGGGGTTGATCAATAATTTGACAAGAAGTTTTGGGGTGATGGTGACAGTTCAAAAATATAATCATCTTCTGGTGGCTAATTTGCTTTCTTTTAGTTGTTCAATATCTGTATTGTTGGTGATCCAATGGTTGAATGTCAAGAATGTTGAGGATGTACACTATTGAGTAGGAGGTTTGTGGGAGCAGCCATCTTGACATGCTGAGGAGGAGCCTATGCCTAAGTTCACTTTAGGAGGATAGAGGGGCTACCCAGGATATGCGTTGAGAGTGAGTCTCCTTATGGTTTCCATTAGGATTGACCAATACAGTGGTGTACTCTGTTTGCTTGATCTTAGTGTTCCTGAGGAGTCCTCTTGTGAAGTCCATCAGGATTGAGCTACCCATGTATGCTGGACTCCCTGTCTTTTCTTGGTCTGGCTGTCTGTCCGTCCTATCTTTTATACTTTGTTACTCGTATTTACTTGATAATCGAGTTTTTAAGACTATTTGGGTATGATTTATTCAACCAACTTTGCTTTGATTTAGTTTTTTGAGACTCTGCTTGGATTGCTCTGCTAACTTATGTCTGCTAGGATGTCTTATATGGAACAAATAAAAGGGTGTTCTAGTCTGCATCTAATTTTCTACTAAGAATATTTCTATGGTTGTTTCCTTCTTAGATATTGGATTTTACAGATCACGTGTGGACGGAGTGCTATTCAATGTTCTTGGGAAGGTAATTTGACTCTGAGAGCAACAATTCTCTAATATTATCTACTCTAAGTTGACACGTGTCTATATTGCAGATGGATGCATCTTGATCCCTGTGAAGGAATATATGATACGCCATTACTTTATGAAAAAGGGTATTTTCTTCATTACATTGTTATTATATTATTCAAAATCAGTATCTAGTTGTTACGTCACAGCTGAATCCTTATCTGGGAATTGAATTATTTTCCTTGAAGCTGGAACAAGAAATTGAGCTATACTATTGCTATTGCAAGAGACGGAGTCCATGATGTGACTAAACGTTACACCAGGAAGTGGCATGAGGTGACCACAGTAACCAACAAACTCTTTTCTTCCTTTCTTCAACTTGCACATGCATCTCTGTTTTTTTTAACCAAGGAACATTGTTATTCTGAAGGTTCTATCTCGTCGAAACATAACTACAGAGACTGCTGCATCTAGCACTCTTACTAATATAACAAGAGAATGTAGAAAGAACTTGACATCTGTGATTTCTGCACTTGAGGAACGTGACCGTAAGGAAGTAGAAGAGCTTGATAAAAATTTACATTCTCAAGATGATGATTCTCTCTCCTTACCAGGAAGACTAAGTGGGGACAAGGAATGGCGCGCTTTAAGATCAGAGATTGGTTCTGATTCTTTGAGTTCCTCATCTTGCCCAGTTCGTAAATGTATAGATGAACATGTTTCAAGCATCTATAATGCATTCTCTCCTCTCATATCTCGGTTGACAGAGTTCTCTTCCAAAAATAAGGCTCTTGAAGGTCTTCATTTTGTTAGAGGGGTTTTGGTAGATCTCAAGAAGAGCCCTTTTAAAACAAGGAGAGTTGTTATTGATTCAAATCTAAAGGATGCAAAATTTTTCATCCGTGAACTGTGGCCGTCTTTTAATCTGATGCTTGACGCCCTTTCTCTGAAAAGTAATCTAGAAGCAAATGAAAAAGTTGAAATTTGTGTAGCAGATGAACCTGTCAGAACTTCCATGGCATTGCCTGTTGTGTTCCATGCCCTGGATGATGTGCTCTATAACATAAAACATTGCAATGAATTAAGCAAATCTTCTCTTTCTTGGCCTCTACTAAAGCTAAACAGAATATGCTGTGGTTCTGTTCTTGCCAGTGGGGAGGAGCTCCCTTTCGGAATTGTAAGTAGCGTGGTGTACATATTACTTCAAAACAATTGCCTCATCTTATATATTCATCATTTACATCACTAGGGACAAAATAAAACGGTCCTTTCATTTTGTTAATATAAGTTTTGGGAACTTTCAGGCTACTTCTGCATTTGATGGAACCCGCTTGTCGAAGTGGGAAGAACCAAATGGCTCGAAAGGTATATTAGATGTATGTTGTACCTGTTGAAATATTATCTCATCAATTAGTGGGATAGGAAGAAGTAGCCCCTATATACTTGTCCATTGCAGCAAAACTAGGAAATTGATTTCTTCACAACTTTAAGATCTAAAAGAAGGTTCCGCCCACGTGCTATTGTTTTTGTATAAAGGAAAACAACTCTTTATTTGCAACGTGCGTTTGATGTCGATAAAAGGGAGATCAGATGTGAAGCCTGTCTGTTATTATAAAATTTTGAAATAAGGACTTTAGCTCTTGCATAATGAGAAAGCCTATGAAAAGCAAACAAGATGAATTGTTTCTATGAAGAGTTAGTTTAAAAGTATGGTCCTTCGACTGTGCAAAAAGTGTGATCTTTAGAAGAAAAAGTAAATCCGTTTCTTCTGTTGGCATTTTATTGTCTAAATTGATTGATGTAAGCTTATCTTGTTTAAGGAAATAAACACAAGAAGCCTTATTTTAGTGAACTATTTACTCAATCCCTGCATAATGATGAGAAATGGACATAGATATCTTTACTGCAAACATGTGTTATTTTTCTGTTATGGTTTCTTTCACAATTCTTAATGTGTAAACTAGTTGAAGGATTAAATATTGTAGGTTGTTGGTTAATATACAAAGCGATGGGTGTCCAGGCCTACGAACTGTGCTCATATGAACTAATGTCGGCCAATGATGCTCCAGAAAGAGATCCCAAGGACTGGTATGTTTGCTTTATATAACACACACGATTCTGAGAGTTGAACATTTAGTTAAACATTTATTTCTCCCCATATTACCTGACTCCAGCGATCGTTTGTTTATGCTCAATGAGTGACAACCAGTGATTGTCAGATGCCAAATGTATAATTGAAACACCAAATGCATCTACATATGACTTGTGGCAGAAAAAAATTACATCACACAACAGAGGCTGGAAACGACCCTGATACTATTATCTCATTCGTAATTCGTTAACTTTGTGGGCTCAGATGATAGAAAATGGATCCTACACTTGTAACCAAAAAAATTGGAAGATAGAGCCAATATACCAAAATTAAAATGTGTCTTAGAACCTAAATGACATCAGTCTTGTATTTGGACTCACGGACAATTATGGAGCAATGATCTGAATTAAAAGCTGTTATTTCTAGCATGCCCCTAGAGCATCCATGTATTTTTTAGAGTGTAAACCCTTATCTAGAACCAAAAACGATAGCCCTTTAACTTACCTGCAGTTGTCATCATTAGTTACTGATCAAATGAAGCCTTTCTTGATCTTTGTTGGTCACTCTGGTTCTTCCTTGTTATTACGTTCTACACTCGAGTGCGATGACATCACACTATTAATGTTCCTGACATTTGGACATACACTTAGCTAGATTTACAGCCAAGTACTTGGCTGCCTGAGTTCCACACTAGATTTAATCAGACACTCTGCTGCCACTTTTCTGTCAACTCTATAGCTATCCGGTGGGACGGACCTAGGAATTTTTTTATACGGTGGCACCATATAATATAGACAAAAAAATAATTACAAAAAGCACGGTTTTTATCGACATGTCTTCATGTTTTTACTAATGTTCAATATTGCTCGATGTGTTTAGCCTAATTCCATTGTTTCGAGGGATTTTTAAAGTTTTTTGCTTGATTTTGAGGAATTTTTTAGTTTTTTTTTATCGATTTCGAGGGACTTTTTCGGTTTTTTTGGTTGATTTCAAGAGTTTTTTCTGGTTGATCACGAGGGTATGGTTGCACCTTTTTGAACTTTTGAATATCATACGGTGGCACCTTCTAAAATGATATGGTTGCACCTTTCATAAACGTAAAATTTTTAACCTTTCAGCAGAGAGATAATACGGTGGCACGTGCCACCGCATGCCTTTCTATGGGTCCGTCAAAGGCTATGCGGCAAGGCACCTATAAGTGCAGTCTGGGTAAGAAAAAAACATGTTGACCCGGTAAGTGAAATAATAATGCTAGCCGGGTAGGTGCTCGGTCAGCACCTTCAGTCATATCAGCCACAAGGTAAACATCTTGATGCTGACCGAGTCCACCGAGTCAGGCGTGCTGACCAAATCAGCAGTAGATAACAACCCAAGTGTACCTTATGTGATTTTCTACGCAGAAGAGAGTTTTGTTTTTATGGGTGGCATGATCATTTCCTTTTGGAATGTATGCCTTTGATATTATATCAACTTATCGAATGGCTGTTAATTTTCTTGCAGGGTGATTGAAGGTAGTGACGATGGTGGTTCCAGCTGGCGTGTTTTGGATGAACAAACTTCTCAGATGTTTCACAACCGTTTCCAGCGAAAAACATATACGGTCAAGTTGCAGGGATTCTTCGCAAATGTATTCAGGTATTTACTTTGGACTTTTGATCCTTGCACTATCAAGTAAAGTAAGTTTTGCCATTGTCCTGTAAGAATTATTCTTCTGGCCATAGTACCTCATGTTTCAACCACCGTTTGTCCACCAATACATTCTTTTTGAAATTGGCTTGACAAAGTTAGGCCATGTTTGGCCAACTAGCCATGATACGCTAGTTGTTTGCTAATAAGTTAGCTGATAAACTAGTTAGGTTCGATAAAAACTAGTTGATAAGCTAGATGACAATGTAAGATGACCTAAAAGAAAAATATAAAGGGTGTTTATGTAGAACATAAGGGCATAATCGGGAAAAGTGAAAAAAGCTCAATGAGCTGAAGTAGTTTTTCCAAAAAGATAGCTTATAAGCTAACTTATGACTCACCAAAGCAAAGCTAGCTAAATAAGTATAAAAATAAGGTTGCTTATGTTGCCATGTTCTTATTCAAGTGAGGTCATGTAAACGTTGGTCAAGGGAAAATGTGCCTCTAAGTGTTACTTTCAGCTGAAACTAAAGGATGAGTGTGCATTAGGTGATCGGGGGTAGAGGTCAAGTTTGCTCCTTTCCAATACCTGTGCCCTATCTTTGAGTGGCATATATCGGATTCGTTTGGATTTGATATGGTGACCATATTAACAACTTTTTAACAGCAAAACAAATATATATATATATATATACACACACGCACACATACATACAGGGAGAGAGAGAGTGTGTGGGTGGGTGAGTGAGTGAGTGAGGTTTAGGGAAAACCTCATAAAATGAAAAATTGAGGAACACCTTAATAACCATTTTTTGTATGCTATGAACATGTGCATGTAAGCAATTGAAGATGTTTATGGCTTTTTTTTTCGGAAGGGTGTCCAGGCTATGTCTGGACTAAGAAATCAGTCCTGATAAACTCATTGGCCACAATTTTTGTGTACGCCTGAATCAAACCCTGGCATATGGAATATTTCATCACATCCCCCAGACCTCAACCACTACGCCATAACCCTTGTGGGTGCATGTTATACACATGTATATACCAAATAAATTACTTGTATGTAGTTTTTCATTTTTTGTAGTTTTTACTGAATCTAACCCTATATACATATATATTATATGTATAGAGGGGAGTGTTCAAATGAGTCGACTAAAATTTTTTAGAATGTGAGGAGAGATCTCGACCGTTAAATTAGATTTTTCAATGACTAAGATCTTAAGGAAAAAATATGCAAGTATAGGTGAAATTTTAACTAATTTAAAGAACCTAAGGAAGTTGATGGGATAATTTTAAACTTTTATATAATTAAATCACTATTCAAGCAATCACTAATCCACTTTTTTAAACAAAAACTAGATTACCATTTAAAAAAAATTAAATTACCTATAATATAATCAATATTTTAATTAAATAAATCAGACCAAAAAAACAAGAACTTCATTATCCATGATATATATATATATATATATATATATATATACATATTTAAGATTTACATATGAATCTTAAACTTACAACTGATTCTAAATCTCGATTATAAGTTGTAAATTGATTTACGAACAAGTTCTAATTAAGATTTACATGTTCACATATGAATATTAAACTGGTCTCGGTTTTATTCATTCACGTACAAGTATGATTAAGATTTACATGTTCACCTATGAACAAGTATACACCTAATTATCACTGTCTGGTAATTGTTTGTTGGGATATTTTACATTTGGTTACATTTCAAATGACCAATGATTGTGTTCACATATGAGATCGAGGCAAACGAGATTTAATTTGATATGTAGATTGTAAAGTCGCTAATGATTTCAACATGGAAAATTGGATAAAAAATCGATGATTATCAATATTTAAGAATTGTTATAGAAAAAATCAGGGATAAATTAGGATATTTGATTTTTTTCCATGGTAAATTAATTAGTGAAAAACTACTTGGAAATAGAAATTTAAACTAATGGTTAGGATTGCTTTCTCATCTGAACCACTCATCATATATATATATATATATATATATATATATGCATACAGGTGGAGGTTCAAACAAGAACACCTTTATTTTATGAGAATACGAGAACACCCTTATCACATGTGATAATACGCGTGAGGGGACCTGTGATGTGCAGACATCGTGTTTAACGACTTAGCCCGCGTCAAAGGTTGTCTGCATCTATGATTTAGCATCACATGTGATGGTCTTGATGGATTATAGTATCATATAAACAACACCCTTATCACATGTGATACTACATGTGAGGGGGCTTAGTGGTGTAAGGGCAACTTGGCCCGCAACCAAGATCGCATCGAAAATCGCCCACATATCTGATTTAGTATCACATGTGTATCATATGTGATGGAATAATAGTATCACATGTGATTGTTTATAGTAAAAAGGTGTTCTCGCGTTCTCATAAAATGAAGATATTCTCGTTTGAACTCTTCCCTATGCATACATATATACATATAGATACATATATACATATATATACTTAATGAAGACCACTTGGTAACTGTAACCATGGATGTGTGGTTAACTTACACGCACCTCGACTAATCTATTAGGGCCTTGAAGTTGAGAGCCATACAAACCTTACAGTGGCCCTATGGGGACTGAGGACCTTTCTGTTGTAATGATTTGATCAGTTACTTCCGTTCAATTACTAATTCATGAAAGTGGCAGGTTTAGGTTTTTAACAGTTCGTGACGGACAAGCGACTTCACGGTTTCAAATAGGCAGCATCGACCTATACGCAAGCAGCAACAGCAACGTGAACCAAAAATCATTGTCGTGATCCAATGAATCCTTCATTTACGGTCGGTTTTCTCTTCGTATACAACAAAGTATTGCAGTAAATGTGTGTCGAACCCTCGATTTCATCACAAAAAAGTTGTTACCATAGGCAACGGTTTCTGCATTTGAATATTTCCTTTATCAGAGAAATGTAAAATAAGTCTATAACATATAAAACGATAAACCTATGTCACGATTTCATCAATTTGTAGCCAACTTCCAACTGTATTTATTTATACACAGTAAATCAAACTTACACACGTATCATCTTTCGTTAGGTTGGAAACTTTGACCTCTAAAATAGTTGGGTTACTGGATACCGTTGTTTTAATAATAGTATACTTGTGAGGGTTCGAGTGGTCTTGACTCGATAAAAGAATGACGATGACAAGTTGACGACAGTTTTATCGTATTTGGAATCGTGTCCAAAAATGTTGAACACATCGTAAATTCCTGGTGATGTATGATGTAATGATACTTGGAAAATATTGTTCCGAATACTACTAAGAAAGTACGAATTCAGGTATGAAAATACATCGTATTGGATATGAGTCACATTGTAACATTTTAGCGTCGATGCGGATATGAGAATTGTGATTATATATATATATATATATATATATATATATATATATATATATACAGGGAAGGGTTCAAACGAGAACCCCTGTGATTTACGAGAACGCAAGAACAACCCAATAACCTCATATTGTGATAAAAAATAAAATTAAAAGATTTTTAAAATTTAAATTTAAATTTAAAAAGATTCAAAAAAATTTAAAATTAAAAGGGTAATAATGGAAATGATATCATCAAATCTTTTTAAACACGATCATTATCTTTTAAACACTCATTATTATCATTAGTCTTATCATTATCTAGTAAAACGGTTACGAAATAGGTTAGGATTATATTAGGTGTGATAATCATGTGATATGGGTGTGATAATCATGTGATAGGGGTGTGATAATCACCATTATACATCACTTGGGTTATCGTTTTGGTTAATAAGTTAAAATTTTGGTGTAATCATGTGATAGGGGTGTGATAATCATGTGATATGAGTGTGATAATCACCATTATACATCACTTTGGGTTAACGTTTTGGTTGATAAGTTAAAATTTTGGTGTCATCATGTGATTTGGGTGTGATAATCATGTGATAAGGGTGTGATAATCATGTGATAAGGGTGTGATAATCACTGTTATACATCACTTGGGTTATCGTTTTGGTTGACAAGTTAAAATTTTGGTGTATCATATAATATGTGTGTGATAATCATATGATATAAGTGTGATACTTTTGTGATAGAGGTGTGATATGAAGAAAAGATGTTAACGAGAAGAAGAAGAAGAAGATAACTACCAAGAGTAAAACGTGGAACGTGAAAAGATAATTATGGTTAATTAAAATAAAATAAAAATTATAAAAATTACTTAATTACATTATTATCCTTATTAAATTATTTATATATAATAAAAATTAATTTATTAATTAAAAAACTTTGAAGTTATTGGGTTGTTCTCGCGTTCTCGTAAATCACAGGGTTCTCGTTTGAACCTCCACCTATATATTATATATATATATATATATATATAAATTTGTACACAGATAACTGACGATTATATTTCAGGGTATGTTTTATAAACTAACTGAAAAGTTAATGATATATAAACAGGTAGTTGATAATTTAATCATGTTTGATTAAAGTTAGTTGAGAAATATAAATTATCAAAAAGGTATGTTAAAATATCAATCAATTATAACCTTTTTTTAATTTAATTAAAAATATTACTAAT